AAAAAAAAACTGCACTGCAGTCCTGAAAGCACGTAAGTGGAATCCACCAGCTGCTCTGTGGGAGGATGGGCAATCTCCTCCCCTATGATTAATTACTTCTGAAAACCCACTGGAGAGTCAGCTATGGGTTGGTTTCAACTTGGCTGTACACAACAACAATCCACTGACAACATAATTAACTCTCTCATAGAGAGTAAACATAGAGAGCTAAACTCTCTCATGGCACTTGTGCTCTTCTTGTCAGTATCTCATGGGACTTTAAAGAGACCTTTGTCTTTGACACACAAGATCATAGAATCAATGACTTAAAGGTTTTAATTCACTTTATGACTTTTGTCACTCATTCAACCCTAGGCTTTGTAGGTACTCCAGGGAGATGGGACACCACCAGGTTGCTGGGTCTCCAGTTCAATACAGAGCATTCCAAGTAAGCCTGGGCCAACATTAGAGGACTCATAGCCTAGACTTACGAAATCAAATGAGACATTCACTCAAACACCTCCAGCCTTTAGTTTGAATGCCTTTTCATTACCAAGTGAGAACTAAATTAGTTTTTGGGGGCTTTGGAGACATGCCACCAGCCAAATACATGCTGTTGTTGTTGTGTACCATCGAGTCAGAACAGACCCCTAGCTGATCCTCTGGTGAGTTTTCAGAGACAATCCCATAGGAGGAAATTGCTCATCCTTCTCCCAAAGAGCACCTGGTGGACTTGAACTACAAACCTTCAGGATTGCAGTGCAGCTTCTTACCACTAGGCCATCAGAGCTCCACCAAGTACATAAAATGTGTCAAATAATCAGCACTAACGCCCCATCTCCCTGCTAAGGAGACCTGGTGGTATAGTGAGTTTAAGTGAGAACTGATAACCAAATGGCCTGTTATTCAGACTCACCAGCCAATTCACAGGACAAAGATGAGGCTATCTGCTACTGTTAAAATTTACAACTGAAGTAGCCTAATGGAGCAGCTCTACTCCATTCTATAGGGCCACAATTTGTTGGAATAGACTTGAAAGCTGATGATTTTTATTCCTCTAATGTAACACCATAGTTCTACCTAAGTTAAACAAGGCCCCAGAATCCCAAACACTTCCCTTCCACCAGCCATTCCCCTTTAGTGAGAAGGTATGTATACAAGATGAATCCTAATTGCTATCTTTGATCTATTTATACGCTATAATTACATTAGACTTCTTCCTACAAAATTCACTCTCAACTGGATGTGATCAAGGTATCATTGATGAGGATTTTAGAACTTTTTGTGCCATATTACATAATATGTTAAATAAAATAGATTTCCATTTAGCTTTTATTCTCTTACCTAATAAATCCATAGGAAAATTGTAGAGGACCCACCTGTCACTTTGATATCTCCTGTGGCTTTGGCAATGTCATTCTCAATCATACAGGAATAGGTATTGTTGACTGTGACATTGTAGAGTACAGACACCACCTTCATGGTCACATTCTCAGAGTTCAGTTCAAAGCTGGTATTGGAGACTTCTGAGAAGTTGGCTCCTTGGTTAATTTGAGATGCCCAGACCACAGTGGGCTGGGGGAACCATCTGGGAGCCTCACACCGTAAGCTCTCAGAACTGGCATTATAATCCACATTCACTTCTGGGATGCTGAAGGCTGAAGGTCAAACAGCAGAAATGGAAAATGTCGGACAGACGAGATAGTACAGCCTTTAATATGTTAGATCTTGAAAACAAAACCAGTTATTTTCAGCACAGAGGTGACTTAGTATTCCCCCAAGAAGGCCTATCTCTGTGTGGTTTTGTGTTGTGAATGTAAATCATGATTTACTCATAGTGTTGTCATACATCACGACTCTTAAGAACACACTCTTAAGAACCTAATCTATTTTTGTTATCATATTCTAGATGTATGTTTGTTATAATAGATAATTTTTAAAGTAAAAACAGCTCTGATAACTACAAAAAATATTTTCACTGAAGCATTTTTCTCAGAAACAGTCTGGCTTTTATGTAATTTTCTGTCCAGAGAATAATCTTAGAGTCAGGGAAGGAGATGGAGAAGAAATGAACAGTACACACTTGTCACCCACAGAAATTCCCACACACACCTTGTTATCATGGGTATTTGGAGTTAATTTGGGTGGAAACTGCCCAAAATAGCATCAAGGGATAGAGATAGGTGTTTATTTCCTTCTACTTAGATAATTTCTCTCACTGGAGAGGTATCTGCATTTTGAAATTAAGACTAATTTTTCTCTTTATTTCTAGGCACACAGAAACACATGAACTCCCAATTTTAAAATTTTTTATGCCACAGTGACAACTTTTTCCATTTATTTGGCATTTCCCCCCCCAGGAGTGTGCTGGTGTTGAGGTAATGTGAAAAGAAAAGCCCTTGGTTTAGCCTTAATGAACATAGAAAGCAAGAGTCATGGTTGGCAGAGAACACACTCCTGGACAATGATACAGGAAATTGAGTATACACGCAATGAACTAGCAATTGCAGAGCATGTGTTCTGTGCTATGTACTAGGTGTTAACTCCCAGACATTATTTTATTTGATCTTCACAACAGTCTTAGGGATATCTAGTATCATGCTTATTTTTTTTAAAAAATAGCAGTTTTGTATTTTAGTAGTTTTAGGCTTACAGAAAAAATTATGAAGACAGTGCAAAGAGTTCCTCCTGTATGATGTTATTTTGTGCCACTAAATCAGAACCAAATGGCAGCTGACCCTCCAGCAAGTTTTCAGAGGCTGTAAATTGCAAGGGAGGAGATTTCCCATCTTTCTGCCTGGAGCAGCTGGTGAATGGAACTCCCCTGCCTTTGCGTTATCAGCACAACTCCTTACCACTAGGTGCCCGAGCTCCCTTCCACCTGTATGTTGTTGTTAAGGGCCAATGAGTCGCAGGCGACTCATAGCGACCCTATGAAGGAAAGTCCTCGAAGCTTGGGTGCCTTTCATCCTCTCTCCAGGTTTATAGGGTTTCCAGAGGCAAGCTATTATGGAAGTGGATGCCACTCCTCCTTCCAAACTTGTTTTAATCAGGGAGCTCCACCCCACTCTCTGTTCTCATTGGGTAACCAGTCATTAACACATTTGACACATCAGTGTCACAGTCTTCAGCCTCACAGCAACCACAAGTGACCACTGTATGGCAACTTGTACACTAGCCACCTGTATGCTCCTGAATTATTCTTCCTCCTCCAAGTTTAATATCTGAAGTAACTATGGTGAATTTAACAAAATTGAGAAACTACATTTGATTTGTCACTATTACAAGATATTATTTGGATTACACTCACGTCCGCACTAATGCCATTTCCCCCATTTCAGGATGCCACATTGCACTTAGTTGTCATATATCAAGTTCTTCTGGTCTGTGATACTTTTGGATCATTGTGTGTTTTTCATGATCTTTCCAGTTTCAAAAAGAAGGGTTGGGACAGACATTATGTGGAATGTTCCTTAATTTTTAAAGGATTTTTTTTCTGGAATGAGGTTAGGGGAGGAAAACCATAGGGGTGAATTTCTGTTTTTATCACACCAAAGTACTTGTTATCCCATGACTTAACACTGGTGATCTTAACTTTCATCAGCTTGTGATGGTAGAGCTTGTCAAGTTTCCTTACTAAGACTAGCTTAGTCTCAGGGAGCTCTGGTGGCCTAGTGGCAAGAAGCTGCACTGCAATCTCAGAGGCACACTGTTCGAATCCACCACAGGATCTGCTGGAGAAGGAGGGGCAATCTCCTCCTTTACCAGTTGTATCTGAATGATGGTACACACTCAAAATATAATAAAATAAAAAAGACATTAAAAGTTAGAAAAAGACTAATTTAGCCGCAGAAGGTGAACAGTTTGACCTTCCAGAAGGGAAAGCATTTACATAAACTATTTGAAATTCTTATGTAAGGAAGCTTTGTTACTTTTGCATTTATTTGTATCAGTATAAACTCATTTATCAAAATATATTCACTTTATGCTTTGCTTTGCTTTATAACTCAATATTATGTTTTTTAGTTTTATTAATCATTCCAGTTTTGCTTTTGTAGGGTATTTTAATTGGCAACTGCATGCCTTTGATATGACACCATTAATTCTTACTCTGTAGTAGTTGTTTTTAGCTGCTCTGACTTGATGGCAACTCTATGTGCAATGGAGTGAAATGCTCCCTGTTTCTGCATCATCCCAATGACTGTTTACAGATTAGACTCTTGGGATCCATAAGGTTTTCATGGACTGATTTTTGGAAGTGCATTACCAGGCCCCTCTTCTTAATTCAAGTCTGGGAGCTCCACAGAAACCTGTCCAGCATCATAGCAACATATAAGCCTTAATTCTGTATCTTGCTCTGAATCCCTGAATTATCCGATTTCTTTTAAGGCATTTGTTACACCTTACCAATTATTATATAGTTATTTACATATTTTCTTGTCCTTACTTTGTCCTATATAAACTCTACATTATAAGCTTTCCAAGGGAAGGGATAATCCTCTATTTTTAAAATGATCTTTACATTTCTTATGGTATCTTGCTAAGTCCTTTGTATATACATTTAGAAAATATATGTTAACTTACAATGGTAAGTAAGAGCAAATTTCTCTGGGGGAGGATTAATGAGTTTATTAGACATTATTATTTTGGTTGGGGTCCTTTGAGTTTCTAATTGAATGGTTTCCATTGACATTGGCCTGGGGGTTATTGACTTAGATTTGGGCTAGGCTCTCCTTAGCAATAGCAATGTCTCAAGCCAATTTGATAATACCATGTGTTCACAGGAAACATACTTAACAGCATTTCCTGAGATGTCTCTGAAATGCCAGACTTATGGCTTGTAGTCAAGTGCTTATCTGCTTGTGCCATCCAATGACTCTTCTTAATATATTGGACTACTTTTGGGATCAGTGACATCTTGAACATATAATGCTAAAGATGGCTAATAACAGAATTGGAAGGACCTCTGTCTGATAAAGTTTGCTCCAAGATTGTGTCTTAGATCCACAATTAATACCCTTGGTATCAGCAGTCAGGACACCAGGAGACATGTGGTACTTGGAGAGTCTGCAGTTAGGGGCCTCTCCAAATTATTGAGGAGTAATGATGTCAATTTAAGGACTAAGGTGCATCTAACTCAGGCCATAGTCTGATCACTTGCTATGCATCTGAGAGCTGGACAAAGGAAAAGGGTGATGGAAGAAGAATTGATGCCTTTGAGCTGTGGTATTGGAGAAGAGTACTGTACAGCCCATGGACTGCCAAAAGAACAAACAAATATGTCTTGGAGAGGATGTAGCCATAGTGCTTTTAGGAGACGAAGATGATAAGGCTTCACCTCACATACTTCAGGTATGTTGCAAGGAGTGGCTATTCCTTAAAGAGGAACTTTGTGTTTAGAAAGGTAGAGGGTCAGTGAAGGAAAGGAAGACCCTTGACCAGGTGGATTGATATGGTGACTGTTGCAATGAGCTCTAACATGTCAGGAAATGTGAGGATGGCGCAGGATAGGACAGGGTTCAGATCTCTCATTCATAGGGTCACTGTGGGTCGTACTTGACTACTTGACCTCTAACAACAACAACAACAACAACAATTTGATATATGAATATGACACAATATTTCTTTAGTAATTTCTATTCTTTAAAACCTCAAATATGTTTAATTCTTTTTCTTTCTTCAACAATAACTTACCTCCAGTTTTATATTCCAAGTTAGCATTTCCTTTGCCTTTAGATGTGATAATATAACATTTGTAAGTGCCAGCATCTGTGAGTTGTACATTTTTCAGTCTCAAAGAGGCATTGCCAACTATCACTTGATCAGTAAACACCGCAGTCCGGCCCCTGAACATTGCATTCTGTTCTGACAGGTCGTCTTTGCCTTCTTTGAACTCATGGACCAAACCCATAACACCTTCCTTCAGCCATTGTATCACAACATCAGAAAGTTTGATGTCAGGTTCAAAAGTGCAGCTCAAGATTCCATCCTCCCCGATGTTTCCAGCCGAGGTCAAAGTAGTGACTGTGATGTAGTGTTTCCCTGTAATTTACAAAAAAAGTCTCAATTCCATGAGAAGTCTTACAGTTTTAAAACCAGATGCCTCATTAATAAAAATCACATAGCCATCTGTAGTAAGTTAGAATTGTAGAACAGAAGAATTAAAAACTTAAGAGGTAAGAACAATTGAAAGAGTAGGAAGAGAACAAATTTAATATATACAATGTATTTGTCATATACAATGCTTTGTGTGAGACCTAGCATCCTAAACCTTGAAACAAGGAAAGAACCATGTTGGACGTGAGGGTTGAAGATGACAGTTCAAGTATTTGTATTTGTTACTTAAAAGCTGTGTGATTTGAATAAGTCATGAAACTTCTCTGAATCTCAGAAAAATGGAGGTAATAATACCTAACTTCAGGAGTTCTTGTGAGAATCTAGTCAAATGGACATGAATTTGATATGCAAACTCTAATTATACATTGTTGTTGTTGTTATGTGCCGTCGAGTCGTTTCCGACTCATAGCGACCCTATGCACAACAGCCCTAAACCCTGCTCTATCCT